CCCCCCCACCCATGATCTGCGCCGATGAGTATTATATTCTATTATTATAATCACCACTAGGTGTAAATAGCTATATTTTTTATTTAATTACAGTGGTGGAATGACTTCCGTTTCCACCAGTCTGCTGAAATCCAGTTTGCCGAATGCCAGATTGCCGAGTCCACTTTACCGAAACGCAGTTTGTTGAATGACATTGCTGAATCTAAAAAACCATGAAACAACCCAGTTTGACGAATCCCACTTTATCGAAGGCTCTATTCTATCGTCACCGTCGTGTGTAAAAATGCCAGGCGGTTTGAGCAGCTTAGGCCTACTTTGCTTATTATGATGACTGAGTAGGGAGAATTGGTGGCTCCAAACTTTTGCCGACAGTGGGGGCCAACGAGTCTGATAAGGGTACCGACCTAAGTGGTTGGTGGCCTGCCTCAGTCAGGCTCCCGGAATAAAATTCCTGGTGGGGTTCATGGGGAATTTTTATGGTTTAGGATGGCCAGTATTTTAGACCACACTATTAGGGAATTGGCAAACACAAACCTTATTTGGATGGGCAAATTAATATTTTTAGTTCAACGACCTCGCCGTGGCGTCGGACGACGGGAGTATTTTCCGTAATGGGATATCCCCCTCCGAACCTCCGCTGGTGCCGCCTCCGTCGAGGAGTCGTCGTATGCCTTGTTTTCTTCAACCATTCAACCAACCAAGTTTAGACATGTAACTCCTTACCTCGAAAAGTGATAAGCCCAGTTCGTATCCCCATCATTGTCATCAGTATCAACAGTAATGTGTTTTCCAGTGGCGGATCCAGGATTTTGAAAACTGTCATCATTAAACCACAGAGGGTAACAAGTCTTAAGGGATAATCTCTCAAAGAAATGAGTTAGAATACTGTGACTAAAACTATTTTGCTTCATAATAGCATACACACAATGATATTAATTTATCTAAAAAACATTTAAAAGGCGCATACCAACATTTCTTCCGGACTTTGGGTTAAACAAAATTGGACTTGAAGGTTAAAAAAATTAACTAGGCCTACGCGATAATTAATTCAAACTAGAAAATTCGAATTTGAAATTGTAAAAACAGTATTTTGATGTAAAATTGATGTCAATATAAAGGTAAACAGTATATCGACAGGGCCTACTAAAACTTTTTTTTAATCCAATATATTCAAACAAAACATAGAATAAACCGACGCAGCGGTGACAAAAAATGAAATAGTTTTATCTTGTTCTCAATTCTGCAGAATACATAGACTATCGAGCACAATATACATTTATTTCTGTAGAAAAGTAATCTAAGCTTATTTATGATCTATCGTAATTATTATGCCAGGAATACACTGCGCTGACGGAACTCCATGGCTCGACGCGATGAGACGCGTGCAACGATTCGTTTTGAATGACGATCCGCTCAGTGTAATTGGCACTCAGAAGATGGCGTCGTACGTGTCATTAAGCGTTCAGAGAGCGGAGATGGTCGGCCGACAGTCGAACTTCTTAAGCCGGACACCATTGGTGGAGATGTGCGCTTTATAAATCTTTATAATAATTATTATTATTATTATTACTCACTGCGTCGTACGACGGTCGTACGACAAATCCATATCTGCTTCCGGCAAGCGATAGACGACGCAACGCCGACTGCTGATTGTCAGTGGCAATCTGAACGGATCCTCATTAAAAAGACGATCCGTTGGGTCTGCGTCTTCGCGTGCGTTCTTCGTCGCGTTGCCGTCGCACGCAGTGAGTAACCGGCTTTAGAGGCCTACACTCACTCCACTCCACTCCTAAATGTTACCAGCTTTTTAAACATAACTTGTTGACGAAATCTAAACACTATTTACGTTGCGGCACATCAATAGGTTCGTTCACAGTAACGCATTCTTGATATGAGCATGTTAAATGAATGAGATAGAGCCCGTAGGCTCGCTCTCTCGGTCTCGTATAAATCCTAGACGTCGAAATGGATACTTAATTCGCTCTTTATGTTCATAGTAGGCCTTGCACCGGTATAGCATGAACATAGCAGGGGAAGCCCTAGTCGGGTGGGACACCTCGTCGGGAGATCTAGCCCCCAGCGCGAGAAAAACAACAATTCGTCGGGGAGAAAAAAAAAGTATTTTCTACATATTAGTAGCTTCTAAAATTAATTAGTAAATAAGCATTTGAAACACCTCAATTGTCATATTCTTCGCCCATGGACCAATTTCGAAAGATTTTGAGCGACGCCCGACCAAGTCAAATCTCCTCTCGTAGGGGACACTCCCACCGTCAGAGACTTCGGACCCCCCATCGGGCAAATCCACCCCTGGATCATATAATATCGACCTCTGGGCTTACAGTATAATAAGCGTAGGTCTAGGCTTACATAGTACTTTTTCTTCACCTGTTAAGTTTCTTGGCACGTGTTCACATGTAGGGGCCTACCAACATAGCGTTTTTATATTAGTACCGGTGATTTACAAAATGCCTACCATAGGCCCAGCAGGCTGAAAACAGTGGGAAAATTGAGGCTGAAGACAGTGTGAAAATTTACCCTCGGGGAAATTTAGAGACAAAGAAAAGTACATGATATTACAAAATACGACGTAACAAACGTGCACAAACACGTGTTCTGTACCGACATACGGTACGTCAATCAGTGCCTACTTTACAATACATTTCGCACGGTAATGCCGTATTATAACATTATGAATAGTATGACACTGGATAAGTTCAATAGTACTGTACTGTGAACGTGTTCTCGGTCTAGCGAACACTAATTAGTATAATTGCAACATATTTCTACTATGATCGACGGTAAGTCGGTATTCCACGCACGTCTTGATTTGGTGAGCTGGTTATGTATTCTGTTTAACCACAGATAAAATAGAAATTTTCTTTGTGGTTTAACCATGGAAGTACTGTACATTTTATCTCGAAATCAGGGATAGGGAGATGGGGAGGGGAACCGGGGAAGAAAACTGGGCCATCCCGAAAAATAAATGCCCGAAATACGGTCTTTTACACCATCAGAAGTCTCAAACTTTCTATAAATTTTAGCTTTTCTTTTCAATAGCCTATCATTTTTTTGATTATCTTATTATTTCTTATTATTACTTAGTATTTTTATTCGGATAGACAGATGCCTACTAGTAAAATATAAACGATCAAGGGTAATGAGTTAATACCAAAATATGTACAATTTTTGTCAGATCATTTCAGTTTGTTATAAATTTGAGATCATGGGCCAGGAATTTCCAATATTAGGCCTAATCAATGACTTACAAAAATGACAATCCCTAACACAAGATAAAAAACATGAAGTGAAGTCCCATTAAGAGTCTTAATACTGAGTGGAGTTGATTTTGGTTGTAAAGAAAAACTCTGTCACTTGACAGGTATTGAACCAAATACCAAGGGGCTGGAATTTACAACCCCTGTTTGGAAACCCTAGACCTCAATTGGGAAAGAAGCAACCGATTTCGTTGGTGAGCACAGCTTTGAAAAAGAAGAGCCTTGGCAAGAGGTGGTTATTTGCACACAAAATCGCTGGAGCCGCTGCTAATATGTTTTTTTCTTTTAGTTTATTTATTTTAGGATAAAGAATATATAAAAGTCAACTACATCCGAGGCGGTAAAATCATGTGATATGGAGGGCGATCAGAGAGGTCTGTCTTCTATTGTATTCTGAGTGGTCTGATGAGCAACTTTCGTCAACAGTTTTTTTTTCCTCAGATCATTCTCAAAAGAAAAGAAAAACATACACCCCCTCCCCTCCCAAAAGAAAAAGAAAAACCCTACAAAATTTCAGCAGTGCGAGTCGTCAGTTCAGGGTTGTTGTCTTGAGTCGGTAATGTTGCGTTGGTCGGGACACACGACAATATTATAAGCCACAGTACGTTCGTTTCTTTTATTTCCCCGACTGGATCGGCAAACTTAACCATACCTCATATATTTGCCTACATAGAAATAAAACAAAAACCTTGAAAAAAAAAGTGACAGAAATGTAACTAACATCCAATGCATCACATGTACTTTACCTCCATGTGTATACATTGCACCAAACTATCAACATTTCCAACAAACTCATTTGACAGTAACTACTAACCAACATTGTTTAAAAAATAGATTATTTGAATGTATTCAAAACTAAATTAAAATCACACCTTTATACTATATGTTATTAGTTTTTTTCTTTTTCTTTTTTTATAACTTTAGTTAGAATAGATACCGTGCATCATTATGGCACATGTGAATTATGTTCCGGCCAACCATTGTTTGACAATGGTTTTAAATTGCGGGAGAACGGTGCGATGATGTGCGGTTCTTCTGCTATAGTTCTTTCATTTCGGTTCCTTTCCTTAGTTGGTTAGCATAGAATCTTTAGTTGGATTTTCTTTTTATTATTATTTTATTTTAGCGCATTGAGACTTCGGTGTAATGCGCTATAGTAAATCCCACTACATTACATTACATCAAAAAAGTAAAAATTATTGATTGATTAAATTATTTTCTTTAAAATAACAAACAAATCCTGGGGTGGGGAACATAGGCGCCGATATAATGGCTGTAGGTTGCGGCGTCCCTGCCTTAAACGGCTCGGCCATTCGACTCGCCCGAGTTAGTGTCCCCTGAATAGGGGTAACCCTATTCAGGAGTTGGAACAAAGGTGACAGTTCTTTTTTTCTGAAGGTGTCCCTTAAAGAGGGGTTCTACTCACTGCATACAATTGAGAAGCACAATTGAGAAGAACCCTGAAACAGATCTCTGACACACGGTGTCATAAACCCTGAAACAAATCTGACACAATGACTACCACCAAATTTTATTACTTCAATACCCACATTTTCGATGGCCTTTAGCTTTGTACGAAAGCGATCTTGAACTGCGTAATGAAGTAATTATTTTGAATAATACGGCCCTCCAAAGTTCAAGTTACTTTTGGTTTATATGTATGAAACCGGTGGTAGGAGCATTTTACAGGTTATAGAGAAGGCAGAAGTGGAAATGGGCCGGAACCTATCATATATACCTCTGGCCCAAACAATACATTACTTTCTTACTGTATACCTACCGCCCACCATGCCTCCTGGCATGCAGTGCAGCAACGAAGGTGTTCCACTGTCTGCTTTGGACTCTTCTCTTGATACTTCTCCAGCATAGGTTCATGGCTTTTAGCTCTCCTTTTATAGTCTAGAAATGTACGGTAATTAAAACAAGTTTTGTTTTCCAAATATTATTACATGGTGCAATGGTAATAACCAAATAGGCCTACCTTCTTTTTTTTAAATAAATATTTAGCTTTCTATTGGATGCAAAAGCACAGAGTAGCGACTTAGAAATGAGGATCAGTGTAACTACGGTATGGATTAGAACCATGTACAGTATATACTGGTTTATACGAAGTAGGCCTATTCCAATGTTCTTCAATAGACAAAAATACTGGTTTGATGTTAAGTTTATTGTTCAACGGGTGTCAAGATATAAAGTTGAATTATTTTTTCTTATTTAAGACTCATGTATTTGTTGTGATACAATAATAAAAGGTTTTATTATTTACTTGATTATTTGGCACACTCAGAAAGTGATCCCCGTCCCCTTAATACGGTAGGTGTTGACTGTAGTGTTAAAAGATATATTTCAACTCGTTTCTTGGAAAAGTGTCTCCTTAATAAGGGTGTTCCTTTGAATAGGTGTCCCAAGGAGAGGTTCTCTGTATAGTTTTTTTTCTTTTAAAATAAATTGTTTTTAATTTAGACTGAATAAAAACCAAACCAGTTGTAGCAGGAGTCTTGCTTGTAGGAAGTTTAGCCATCTATATTGACAATTGCAGTAGGTTTATTTCAACAAAGTGTTTCTTCTAATGAACTTAGATTACCATTCTATTCTCAAATAATTTGTAGCTATTACTCATCTTTTAAAAAGAAACTTTGACTATTTACGGACAAGATTGTGAGTGAGCTGTTAAAATTATAGTACAGTGAACAACATTTTGTGATTTCCTATTAGGAACAAATTTTTTTCTGGTGGAACAACAATGTACCTGATTGTTATCTGTACTTTAGTCAGTCAAGTTAATCTTCCTCTAGTGTCTCCATGTGTCATTGAACTTACTATTATTCACAATTGATTTTGCAATCTTGTTTAATAACTAAAGATTGTGACGGAAAATCGGTTTAGCTGTTGGATTTGAAACTCTCTGTATGCGAGGATGTGGTCAACGTACTTTGCAGGAATAAAACATTTATTTTAATATTTTATTTCCTTTCTATGACTTACCCTTAGACTCTGCACATTGTCTCCCTTGCCGATGATAAAATGTATTTTCAAAAATGATATTGAAACTGCTTTAAAGTTCTCTAATTCCTGCGAATTGCAATAATCTAAGAAATGTAACGTCGGCTAGAATAGCTTTCGGTGACAGCTTTCAGAGGTCCAATGGCATCAACGATTTCACCTTAGAAAGTAGCTCTGTTATTCTCAAAAACTGTTCCTTAAAATACGTGCAGACGTATTCAATTGACTGGAAATCAATACATGAATTTTTAATATGTAAAATTGGTTCCTATGCTGTAAAGCAAAAGCAATAGGAACCTTTGCAATGATCGGGATGTGTTCATCCGCACGTCTGTAACACTGCGTCATCAAATTTGAACGTTTGTAAACTAGCAAACTTGAATATCCAAGCAAGCTTATGAATTTTTGCATATACATGTATTATGTCATGTAATATATTTTTGCATATACATGTAATAATTATGTCTCTACCATTTCTACCTCGATTACGAATTTTTAAAATATAATTTTGAAAAGCAATGGTGGCGCCAGAGGGGATGGGGGCTATAGCCCCCCTTGCCAGGGAAGCAAACCCCCCCCCCGTCGGGAAAGACCAGTAAATTTTGTCAGGGAATAAACAAATAAAAAAATATTATTTAATTATGTAATGTTCGTTTAGCCACCATATTGTTTCATTAAACTATTTGTGTTAATAATAATAATCATAATAATAATAATAATTAATAATAATAGTTTAATGAGACTAAATAAAAATAAATTGCGTTCTTTTATGACAAATGTTCGTTTGGATAGCCTCATGATGCTTGGAATACTGTACATCGTGATAGGTGAAGCAACCTCGACCTTGACAGCGTGGTTAACAGATTTCATGCAAAATTTCCAAAATGTAGAATTTCACTTTCAAGAATGAGGATTTGAAAATAAATTAGATGGTTACATTGCATACTCTTTGTTTCTTGCTTTATTCAAAATGTTTTGGTTTTGGAAGTTCATATTAGAAAACATACATGAAGTCATATTTTATACCGTAACTCGATGCATATCATTCAAATAAATAGTAAAAATTCGCCATAATTCGTGAAATATCCGTGGCTTCCAGGGGGCTTCGCCCAATCGACCTCCACCGGGGGCCCTAAGCAGCCCCTGTCCCCCAGCCAAGTGAGACTCAATTCGCTCCACTAGCCCCTCCCCCCCCCCCCCCCGTCGGGGCATTTAGCCCCTCAGTCGGGCAGGTCCTGGCGCCATCACCAGTGGCGTCGAGAGCCAGTAAGGACCCAGGGCAACACTTCACGTGGCCCTTCCCCTTCACTTGGGACCACCACTCGGCCGTTCCCCAAATTAAGTCTCCTCCTAATTTGTCCAAACCCACATACATGAATATGATTCCATTCCATGTGATTATTTTTTTGCAATGTAGATGTATCAGAATAATCTGATGAATAAACGATAATAATCGTTCCAAACATCTGGTTTGGAACGGGAGAGCATTGGGTGGATTATTATTCAACTGGGGGATTATTTATCTAGTTAAAAAAATACAGAAAGACTGAGAAAGACGCCCATAAAACCATAATGTAAAGTTTGTTTGACAACAAAAGTTTTAATCCTGGCTTGGGCTCGGGTCCTATGGAGATTTTGTTCATACCCCGAAAATTTTTCATCCTGGTCCTGGCCCCCAGTAGACCCGGGGCAGCGACCCCCTGACACCCCCCCCTCTCGACGCCACTGGCCATCACTGGAGAAAGTCCTGTATCCGGCCCTTGGGAAATGGGTACAGAATCGACATCGGCGAGGAGAACCCAATACTCTCGGCACGGAACACTGCACTAAGAAAAGCATGTTTACTCCCACAAAGCATCTTATGCAGTTTTAGAGAGTGTCATTTCCGGCATCTATAGAGGTGCACTATCTTAAAATGCGTTCATGGATTTGATGCCCGTCCTACCATCACAAGACCCGACACAATCGTAACCTCAGTTAGCTTTACACTATTACCTTGCTCACTTGAGCATTCTACTCGCTGCAGGCCTACACAATGATAATTTTCAAAGGTTTCATTTAATATTTAAACTTTTTGGACAATATGGGGGTCCAAGAGGGAGGGGGGAAGATCGAGATAATACTACCTTAGGGGTTCCGGAGGCATGCCCCCGCGAAATTTGTGTGTTCTAGACGCCCGAAAATAACTTCAATTTTTTTTCTTTGTTTCTTTCTTTTCTTTTTCTTTTTGTTTACCTTCCAAAGAGAGGGGGAGGCGGGGACGGGGCCGGCCCGGCCCCTAAATCCGTCCCTGAAACTACCATGGTGGGGGACGTTCTAAAACGTCTCAAATCCCTTTTCGTGGCCAAAAAAAAAAAAATTGGCGCGCCACTGTCTGGACCCCAGGCAGGGCTACACCCCTGGACCCTGCAGAAAATACCTGACCCCTTGTTGAACCACTTAGCTCCACGAGTCCACCGTGAATAAACCCTGGTGCCGCCGTTGCTCCACTTGATCTTATACAAATTTTGGCACTCAGCAATGGCATTATTTTTCTTTGTCCCTGTGAAATTATTACTTTGATATACAGTATACCGGTAGTATTCAGTATTTAGTATGGTACCCAGCATTTTTGCAGACCCTCAGGACATTTTAAGTCTTCACGGTTACTCAATGTCGATATTTCATCAATAGGATGACAAGAATTGACAGTAGATGATTCACCACAAAAGTAAAGAATCAAATATATTTCATTGATAAGGCCCCCAATAACGGCCTAAGACAGATCGGCGGGCCCCAGTGACATACCGTAGTCGCGCGAATAAGCGCCCGGGCGCTTAAAATATTTTTATTGCACTTTCTCATGGGCGCTTATTAACGTGGCGCTTGTGAAAACAGAGTGGAAATTGAGGGGGCGCTTATGGAAATAAATGAAAATCGGGGGGTTCTTATGGAAAATTATTAAATTCTAGAGGCACTTTTTGAATGAAAAGAGATTATTTAAGGACATTACGAATGGTGGTTAGGCGGAAAAAATAATCGTCCAGAGAACATGGCTCATGACAAGAATGCGTGAATGTCATAATAGTGACTAGATGCAATTAGTGATGGTGGGTAGGGGTTAGCTTGTTGGCCATCGGCCGATTGAGATTAGCAGGATGGCAGGATCATTGTATTTTTTCTTGAAAACTTCGATGAGAATGTGCTATAGGTTGGAAAAAGAAAAAGAGGAGTAAGACTAGGCATAGACATATAATATACTCATTTTGATATTGACCTATGAAGAATGTGTTTCCACTTTGCTGCAGCTCAAATCATGCCAACAACCACAGTTCCAGGATTGATTGGATTATTGATTTGCTAAAAAGAATATATTATGAAATTATTTTTATTAGGGGGCGCTTATTCAAATTAGAAGTGGGCGCTTATTCAAATTAGAAGTGGGCGCTTATTCAAACGGGGCGCTTAAGGAAATTTTCACATTAGGAGGGGCGGTTATTCGAGAGGGGCGCTTATTCATACGGGGCGCTTATTCGCGCGAGTACGGTATTTGTTCTAAACTAATTAAGAAAATTGGTGGCACTTTGCATTGGTGGATCCAGGAATCCGAAATAGAGAGGGGGGGGGGGGGACAGGGTACTTAGGCCTACTTTGTCGAGCAGGCTGTCGGAGTTCTGCCAGCTGCCTAACTGCATTCTATCATGACAAAAGAACAAAATCGAGGGCGATCTGTCCGCAAAGAAGGCAACCACTTCAAATAAAACATTACTATTCCTGAATTTACTACCATAATTTAGACTAGTTCAGGTTTTACAATTTTTATAATTAAAAATTGACTTATAATAAGCCTAGGCCTACAACACTAGTTGTCTAGTATATCAGGGTGTTGTTCTAAATAACAACTTTCTGCTTGCATCATTTTCTGTTGAGATGGATTAGCCTATGTTGATGATTCTATACTAATACAAATTTACCTCATTAGGCCTATCTGTTGTAGATGAGCAAGCCCGCGGGCAATGCTTTGCCCGGGCGGCCAGTTGATGGGTGTGGAAAGCGATGCCCGCGTCAAAAGTGCACTGTCCGCGATCGGTACGTCAATACTATCACACTGTTGTACCAGTGACGAGAAAAGCAGTGGAATCATGTACCAGTATGAAAGTTCGCCCACTTCGCACTATCGTCGGAGTAATCAGCCTTTCCATCAGTGACACCACAAACAGACAAGAAGTCAATTTCAATTCGACAAAAACGTTTTGAAAAAACGCGTTTGAAGAACCGTAAATCGCCAAGATTTAATTTTTTTTTACATATAGGCCTATGTAAAGCTAATATTTATGATTCCATTGTTTTTCTTGTCTTTACAGCAATGTGAAACATAACTGCAGTGCTTTGTCAATAATGAAATACCTAGGCCCTATTTGAGTGTGATTTTTATGTTGGGGCCTATAGGCCTATGCTTTTAAAGATGTTTAGGAGAACCACTTGATAGTGGCAATCCTCATGTAATGTACATTTTGTTTGCTTGTTTTCTCTTGTATTTCTTTTACCTGGTTTTATTACCGTAAATGCTCGAATAAGCACCGCATCCCGCGGCATCATACATGAATAATTTTTCGCTAAGCGCCGCTCTCGAATAAGCACTGCGGCGCTCAATTTCGAGTGGAAAGCGCCTGTGTGCAATGAAACAATTATAAATACAATGTATACAATGTTCAAATGAATAAATAACACAATGAAGACACAAGCATCTTTAATGTCTATTTACGATGATGTAGGGTCTATGATAGACCTACCGAACTATGGGAATGCGTGAGATTGGTAACAATAGGAACAATGGAAAGCGCCACGCCATTAGTTTTTTAATAATCTCCGCTCTCAGGGGCGGATTTAGGGGGGTAAAGAAAAAAAAAAAAAAAGGAAAAAAGAAAGAAAAAGAAAAAAATGATAGCCCACAACGCCTCAA